ATAGCGAAAGATGTTAAAATCGAATAAGCGTTAAATATCTTTTTCCTCTTTTATTAAAAAAACCTTTAAAAAGTTCCTTCTGAAGAAAAAAATTGAGCTAAACTAGGGTGCGAATCTGCCAATCGATTAGCAAAGTGGAACAGAAGGAGCGCGATAACTTTGAACCTTTCTTGCCTTCTCGCTGACCTCCTCCTTCAAAAAGAGTGAGGGACCATGCATTAAAACGCTATTGCATAATTCTAGCAACTTAAATCTACTTGTGGGTGGTATATATTTTTTGTTGAAAATGATTTTATATAAATTTTATTCACTAATCAAGCTAAACTTGCAATAGAGCAGCTGAAACAATTACAATACAGATAATAAATATCACTTGTTTGATCTCATTCCCCAGTGCAACTGGCGTCGAACTCGTGTCTCCTACTGATGTGAAGTAGCCGTCCTTTTCTAGTGAATCGTACTCGAGTAATTTCTAGAAGCAATCTTGGTGTACAGCCTCTTCGAGTTTATGTCTAGCCTACCTTACAAATCAGCAGTTTTTGTTTCGGTACCGGATGTGCCTAGCAGACGGCTGATTACATGACAACGATATTGTGGCAGCACAGTAACCGTTATTATAGGATTGAATATCTAAAAAATACTTTACAGAAATAGAAGAACTGTTGTAAGCCCAAGCAATGAAGGTCAGAAATCTAGTCTATTTCTTATAAGCGCTAATCATTTTAGGGACAAGAAGAGCCTTGCAGGTTTTTAAAGCGGATTGCAAAAGAAGGAACTATCGTAGTCTACTGTGAAAAAAATCTCTGCAATAGCAATAGATCATGTGTGTACACCGTGGGAAAAAAAGCATTGAAAGCTGATTTTAGAGTTTTTAATTATGCACAAACGGTTATAGACTGCTACTTTGTGCAACGGGATTAATCTCGATGACTGAGCTCCCACTCTTTCATCACGTCTATTTTTGGGCTTCGATCATCGACCAAAGTGTTGCAACCATTATTGTTTTTGCAAGTTAACAAAAAGCAAAGTTCTTCCCTGATGTTCGATTCCTACTCTTTTCTTTTAATACTGTTCCTTTACTTCTGTTTCCTGTTGTTTGGCTCTTCAACCTCATTATATTCCTAATCAGGCGTTCTTATTGTGCATGAGACGGGGGAAAAAACAAGTGTTGTTAATGTTGGAAAACGTACTTTAAGCTAATTGCGCAAGGTATAGTTTTTCAAATCTTACTATGTACACTATAATGGACCCATAGGTAAACAGCGCAATTTCACGTTATGCATCAAGTCCACAAAAAAAGAGAGTTCGAATGG